ACTATCATTATTTCCATTCGTAGCATCAATGCCATTCCTATATAATATAAATTTCCCACCTCAATCTTGGCAGTTAAAAACTTCGAAAAATATGCATATATGTTATCCTCGCTTTGATCATCGCTTTCATAATGTATTTCCTAAATAATTTCATAAAATTTTAGCAAACTCAAAAGTTTTTACCTTTGTAAGATTCAGTATCCTTCAAAATTTTCCTTCTTTAAAAATAATCCACATTACTTCTTTACTTATTTATTTTCAGGTAGTTCATGAAAATTTTGTTTTTATAAATTTCAGATTAAAAATTTTTTAACAACAACAGGTAATTTAAGGAATAAAACCACAATTTTTTCAAATTTTCATTTTAATAAAAAATCCAAAATGGCATTTGTTCGAAAAATTAATCAATCAGTATTGTTTAGAAATTTCGAAATAATTCAAACTCTTATCATTCATTGTAAGAGAGGATATGCAAACCTTTGTTGATTCATTTCTTTTGTTGATTTTTTCAAATGAAAACACTGAGCAAATTAAAAAGAATATAATGGATACTTTCAATGAACGATGCATTGTTCAACATTACTGAAAAACAATAGCACAGATTTTAATTTCATAAAAATTCCATCTTAAATTTTATTCATTTACTTTTCAATTAATTTACAACACAATACAATAAATATATTCCGATGTAATTAGGTAAGTTGAAATTTTAATTCATTCGTTAAATTTTAATTCAATTATGAAATTCTTTCCTTTTGTTTAATTATTCATTTATTAGAGAATAATTATGCAAAATTAATTTTTCAAATAAAAAGCTGAAACTAATTAATGGCAACACATGTCAAGAAGTTTTGCATAGAGTTCTGTACAAAAGATAAAATATGAATTGAGCAAGGATGAAATGAGCTCGATCGAAAGCTTCAATAGAGAAATGTCAAGCATGTATACCTATACATATATATATATATATATTTTTTTTTTATTCACATGTATATATATACAGAAAGAGAGAGAGAGAGGAGGAAAGAGAGGGAAGGAGAAAGAAGGATAAAGATAGAATGGATAAATTGAAAGAGAAAAGATGAAAATTCTGAACAGATCATAACAATGTGGCAGGCAGTTGTAATCACACAAAATACGCCCGCTAGTTGGCGTTCTCTTTTAAAATTCAATTTTTACTGCCACATCTATGTCTTGTCTTATAAATTTATGTAAATTATTTTCTAATCTTCATATTTACCATTAGAATCATCCTGACAAATTAATTCGATCATAATTGTATTAAACCAATTAATCTCGTTCCATTTCAGTTTTCTTTATAAGTGCTATTTCAAAATTCATTTCGGTTTTCTTTGCAAGTGCTATCTCTTTTCTTTATAAATGCTATTTTTAACTGTTTCGTATTTCTAAATATATCCTTTATAATTCAAAATGATTTGAGACTTTGAAACAACTGGAGAAAAAGCTAATTCGTGTTACGTTAGCTGCATTTTTTAATGTAATGATTGATTAAGATTAAGTTATGCTTTTACGACATTTTTAACATCATAAGGATTTAAAAAAAAAACGTAATAAACGGTATATTTAGAAATGTGTGTCACATCGACATAATTTCATATTGACACTGTACTTTGTCGATATGAAACAGTTTATTGTTTTCTCTAATCCAATTGTTGAATTTTTATTTCAGTTCAGTCTTTATTCTTCCCAAACAGCAGTAAGCAATCTTTTGTTAAATTGACTATAAAATGAAGAACAAACAAGTTATGACGCATCAGCTTCCCTAGCAGATACAATAATGTCATGGTTTCATTGGTGAACATTGTGATGAAAATTGACGAAGTTTATGAGCAAAACTATTAGATCAACCAGTTAACCATTCTCAACATTGAGAAGCTGCCAAAATGAATCAAACAATAAAAAGCAAAGTTTATCAGCAAAACATTCAATATTTTAATACTTTCAATACAATAGACTCAAGAAATTTAAGCAAAAATAGATATATTTTGAGATCAACATTTGGTTTCTAACAGTTCGATCACAGTAGACTGTTTCGCGTACATTTCGCATATTCGTAAGAAATATTAATTTAAAGTTCATTGCGGTTTAGAGGGTGGAATTTTTTCATCAAATGCAATTAGTTTACTTGATATTGTATTTATAGAACGAACTCTTTCCTCCAGTTGTTCGTGTAATTTCTTTTCCACTAACGACCGCGGTTTCCAATCATGAAAATAACCCGGAAGCAACGGTATGTGTTGCACAAATGTACAAGCCTGAAATCCAATTTAACTCACCCAGACTTTTAAATATGTCGCGTAATTTGTTTTACTGCTTGACTGTCAACTAGATCTGAGCAAAATGCAAGTAACAGTTAAGTAATTCGCAATACGAATTTCCTTCGAAAAAAACTGTCACTACTGCTGCTGATCAATAATGACAAATACGTTGCACTAAGTGACACAGATTGTAGTCGATCTTCATAATGAGTGTATCTCCTTCCCCCACCCTCTAAAAAAAGGTAAAAAAAAACAATATAAGTTTGACTAGATTTGGTACTTGCTCCCACAAAATATCCGTACTTTATCGAAATTTAAACATTAAAAAGCATACGACCAATTTAAAAAAAAAAAACCAAAACTTCTACTCAAGTATTATTTGACACTCATATTGATATAATATCGAAAGCGCCTTTTACAACTGTAAAAAAAAGTATTCAGAAATGATCAAAGCATAGATAGAAGTGGACGACATCCTATGACTATTATATATAGCCAAATGTGATCGAACTTAACCTTGTTTGATAAATGAAAATCTACAATAGAACGGGAAAAACAACCTCTAAGGGGTATATCACTGAGTCGGACAATGCGTGCACAAAATTTTCCGCATCGAATTGATGAGCTTCATCGGCTGATTCAGTAGGAACTAACCTAAATGATTTTTTCTAATTTTTATTTCTGATAAGATTTGGCCTTGAGACACTATTCATTCACAATGAATACCAGCAATGAATTGTTTAAAATCAAAAACTGCCAAGCTATAAACAACATTTTAGAAGAACACAATTAATCGATCAATCAATGCAATACATCTTATAAATTCCCACAAATCCCCAGATCATTCTTATAAATTCCCACAAATCCTCAGATCATTCCGTACCTGTTAGACTCTAATTGTAAAGGATACTGTATGGCACATCTTAAATTATATGTTACCAAGTGAGAGCAGAAAAGCGTTCACCAAATTGGTCACATAATAGAGCTCGAATTTGTGCAAAGTAACACAAACCGTTATCCTTATCAGTCACTGAAACTATATCGCCTGTTCGAAATAGACGTTCACACTGTAAGACAATGAAGTTGTCAAACCATTTTATGAGAAACAATGTTTTAATTTTAATATATCTTAACATAATAGGCATCTCACATTCGTAAACACTGGACTGAACCTGATTACTGTTAAGAAATTCATAATTTAGGCATATATTAATGAAATGAATATAATTTACGTAACCTTTTCAAAACTCTAAACATACATGACACTTAATTTAAGACCGGTCCTATTACGACTCCAAATCATCTTAGCAATAACAATTTTCTTCCAGATAAATAATTTTAACAACAACCTTTATTTACTCCTAAAATTCGTCCTTAGTAACAAATAAAGCAGTTCAAATGATTAAAACTTTAACATACCTTATCCCATAATGCATCATGACATCGTAATCCAGCCTTTTGACTTGTTGCTTTTTGTGGACGAGTCGATTTAAAAAAAGATGTTCTTCGATTGGCATATTTGTTGATTAGCGTATTCATACCGACCCGTCTCCCGCTTAAAATTTGCAAGCAGTAATTTTTCAGTTAAAAGTAATATTTTTCCAGCAATCATATTTCGAAATATTCTGAAATCGCTAATATCATACCCAAAAATTCTCTACACATCCCATTAATACTTGTGTCCAGAATTTAGCTTACTACTTCTAGTCTGACTCATGAAAAACTAACAAAATAATTATTCCATCCATCTTCCTGACAATGAGTAGATACTCTTAACAGTCATACAGAAAATCCAGAAAGTTACAGACCATTTTCTTCTGAACTGCAGAGTCACGAGTAATAATCAGAATCCAGAGTTAAGCATACCTGAGTGAAACATTCTTGTTTTGCCGTGATATGCTAAATCGAGAAGCCGCTCGTCTTGCGACAATACCAAGAGAAGGCAGCTGTAATCATAAACAATATCAGAGATTAGGGAAATTAGAAGCTCTAAAAAGATCACAATTAGGTTGGTATCTTGAACGAATACATATCATTCATCTACAGGCCTTACACAATATCCAGAAATATTATGTCGCATATATAAAGCCAATATTTTATTTAAAAAAACATCATGATAAGCTTTCTTACAAAATAATCTAATAAAACTTACATCATCACGCTTCCGACCTCGTGTTATCTGTTTTCTTTTCGAAATACCACTATTGCCATTAGAGGAGCCCATTATAAGGTTTTGCTTATGCTTCCTAAAGCTATCGCGAAATAAATCACTATTTAGTGTTACATAGCCAGGTTTAAATAAAACTATCAATTTTACTACTAGTTTTACTGTTTAAATTTCTATGAGTCTAAATTCTTATATTCTTTGCACTGTTACATTGATGAGTCTAAATTAATCAAAAGATCAACATAGTAAAATGACCTATGAGTCCCAAAAGTATAAGACAACTTTCTTAAAGGAAAAACAAACCAACAAAGAAATTTTATTTGGCTCAGAATTAAATTGATTCAGTTAAGCTAGAAACAATGACAAGAACCCATAATCCATAAAATAATTCATAGGTAATCATATAGCTTGGAATCTAAAAATAAATCTTCAAAGTGACAACTAATTTAGATCATTTCGAATGAATACTTCGGTGTGACAATACATAACCAATTAAATAAGAAGATATTCTCAGGTTTTCTAACTCATATCATTCGATCTATGACAAGACCGCATTTATAAGTTGTGAAATACATATCAAATCCACACGTCATTAATTTAAATATTTTAAAGACATAGGAAAAGTTGAAAGGTACCTGTGAACCGGAACAGATGCAGATGGAGTCGGGGATCTCGTGAAACACCTTCGTCACACAACAAGCCAACATTTGCTTCATGACTAAAACAATGTAATGTAGCTTAATATTTCATATCAATTTACCAATATCATTTCGACCTTTTAAAACTTTCTGAATGCCGGAATAACCACGAACAGAACTGGAAACCCTTTGAAACGCTTCTCTCAGTTTATTTAAATATTTTTATCAGATTATCGAAAATAATTCCGATCAAAAGCCGATATTTCGTGATTTCATGAGGCATAAATGGAAGTACATGAAATACTGTATGAACCTTTGTTGAAATTAATAATAATATGTGGGCGCAACATCAAATTTTATATAACAACTAACGTAAATATAAAAATAAAACTGTTTGCTTAAATACTCCAAAAAAATCTTGAGAACAGTTTTAAACGTATAATAATAAGAAATGCGAAAAGAATAAAGCAATTAGTTAAAATAAAAATAAAAAAAGTACAACTGAATCAACATCATGTGTGATACCATTTTTGCCATGCGTTATGCTTATTTTAGATAATCGCTTCATTCTTTTCCATTTTTTTCTTATCATTAAAAAGATCATTTTACTTCTTATTTTTCGAACTTTCTCTTATGAATTATTCGAACTTTCTCTTATGAACAGATTTTGTGCGGTAACCATTATGTGACCTAAAACAAAACTGATAAGATGAAAGCTGAAGTGAATAAAAATGTCTTCTAATGCATCCAAAATGTAATAAACTGAATGGAATTATTTAAATGTACAATCAGAACACGAATTCATTCATAATTAGATTGTTGCTCTGAAAATTTATTTTAATAAGGCAGTAAAATATTCGGTTAAGATTATGCTTTGATTTTTTTTTTTGCAGAATAGATTTTTTTTGAAAAACACAGACGTCGTAAAATTCTTTTTGGAATTCTCTTTGAGTATATTCTGCCATTTTACTGAAAATATATGAATTTTACAATACAGACAACAAAAATATAAAGATCCATTGATTACTCAAACATCTTTTTACTGTAAGATTATTTCGGGTTCCCGGCAACAAATCTGATTTTCCACTACTGTAAAGGAAAAGATACAGAAGTGAATCTGCACCGGTATATAATATCTTCACTTCACTTTGAAACAAAGTGAACAACTGTCGAGAAGAAAACCGCATTCTTTTCGCTTTTACCAAAAACTCAAATTCGGGTCAAAGTTCGTGAACAATTTTGTACATCTGTTCGTATTAATCCGAAATCTTTTGCAATAAGCTTTCCTAAAGTCATTTTCTTCACAACAGTTTCCTCGAAGCCTTGAACTGAGGTTACAGATGGAAGTCAAAGTTCAAACCCGACCCTATCCGAGCAAAGCTTCAAAGGCTGAATTATAACTACACTAAAACCGGCCCTTCCGGATTTTACTGCAAATATGACGAAACACCGGTCCGTCCTAGCTTTACAAAGTTCATATTCCTGTTTGAGTAATATGCGGGGCTATGCAAGGTGGCCCGGGTAACATCGGCGCAGTTGGTTAAGTTACGGGTTGGTAGAAACTTTTTATTCTTGTCAATTAGGTTTCTTCGAAAAAGGTACAGTAA